GTCACAAGATCAATGAGGTATATATAATATAGTCTTTTTAATGGTTTTTATCTTATTGTAGCCTTTCCCTCTCTTTGTGAAACTTGAAGACTCACAAGTTTTGGGTTTGAAAAAGAAATATTCTGGAAAATGACACTTGTTGATTTTGTGTGATCATTAATTGCTATAAATTTAAGTAGGCTGACTATAGTTTTGGTAGTAGTGAAAGCAATACTATAATAGTGTGTCTAAATTTCATTTAACTTTTAATATGGAATGCATGTGAATGATGCAACACATTTTTGAGTAAATTATGATATGCTTAATGTTGCTTGACTCGTCTCAATGGCTATTGTAATTTTAGTGTAAGCGTACATCAGCAGATTCTTTATCTCCTAGGATAAACTGGTTTATCGAGTTTTTACTTGTTTGTCAAGTTTATACTGGTTTATCCGGTTTAACTGGCCTTGAACTGCCATGCATGCAAATGCTTGTATATATTGATACATTGTCTGCACATAAAGCATAGTACACCAAAAATTGTGAGCTGCTGTAGAGACTAAACTAATTAAAATGGACAAGGCTAATGATCATTTTATATTTACATCTGAAAGTGTTGGTGAAGGTCACCCAGGTAATATAGCTCCATGCATGAATTATTAAGACATCTTTTTATATTAGACAAGATGTGTGACCAAATATCTGATGCTATTTTAGATGCTTGTCTGAAGCAAGATCCATTGAGCAAAGTTGCTTGTGGTATGCATTATCGTTTTTTTAATACTTACTTTGTCATTAATGCGGATTATATATATATATATATACAGAAACTGCTACAAAGACTGGAATGATTCTCGTTTTTGGAGAAATAACTACAAAGGCTATTTTAGACTACCAAACCATCATTCGGGATACAATCAAAAAGATTGGTTACAATGACTCAAATATAGGTAAAGTTAGAAACATGTGCAATCTATTGTATCCAAGTGCACAGACTGCTCTTGTATAACAAAAATTGTATGTTTAACAGGATTTGATTATAAAACTTGCAATGTCCTTGTTGCTATTGAGCAGCAAAGTCCAGATATTGCTCAAGGTGTGCATGAAGGTCGAAAAGACGAAGACGTTGGTGCTGGAGATCAGGTATGTGCTATTATGCATGTTGCATTCGCGAAGCGCACCGCAATTTGACCACACCCTTCGCGTATTTTGGGCGTTTTCAAACTTTGGTACTACATACAAAAATGGATGTACTCCCAAAAGGCACCCAGTCTAATCTGTAAAGCACTATTCAATCTGTAAAGTACTATTCCTGGTCCTCTTCAAAGGCTTGCTGACAAAGGAAAGCAGAAATGACTGTTCACTGCTAGCCATGCATTGTAGTTTGTCATGACTGAAATGATCTGATTACTGGTATATTGATTTCTCATTTCCGGTCAAAATTTTTGGTATTCGAGTAAGCCATAGATTTTGCCATAGATTAGACTCATCCATATTATGCTACTAATGCTTAAATTATATTATGCAGCATTGCTCATAAAATGTCATGATTATTCTTCAAAAATAGTACATTAAGCTCTCAATTATGCTTCAAAACAGTCAAAAACATCCATCAATAGCGAAGACTAATAGTCTAAAGGTGCAGCTGAAGAGAAAACCAAACACTTTTGTTGATCTACATTGGTAATTTAAGACTTCAAAAAGGCTGCAGCTAAAAAAACAATTTTGCCTTTTATGCTAGTATAATTTTCAGATATTTCCCAATTATGCTGGCATAATTCTTGTATTCTTTTACCTAATTATGGTATAATGCTCAAAAGTTATGCCTGCATAATTTGAGCCTCCCTAACATTGAGTCCATCATAGTATCTATGAGTCAATGCCCAACCCAGCTACCGCCTAGGTATGCATGGCCAGGTCTTTTTTTTAAGGATCATAGCAAAAGCTAATAATAGATTAACAAATAATAGATCAATATAGGTTAGATGAAATGAATGATTTTAATTTAGAAATAGAGAGAGATAGTTTGATAGAGGACGGGAGAAAGTTCCATTGGTTTATGCTTGATGGGAAAAAAGAGTGAAGAAAGGACGAGGATTTGCAAATGATTGGTTTGGTTTTCTAAATTTTCCAAAGCTTTATTGATTTTTTCAGGTTTTCAAAACTTTTCATATAATGTTTACCCATCAATAGGGAATGATGGTTGGATATGCCACAAATGAAACACCTGAGCACATGCCAGTGACTGTTGTTTGGTCCCATAACTTAAACAAGTCAGTACAAACAGGCTATAATGCACAAAAGTTATAATCTATTTAAAGGAAACTAGCTGAATGTAGGAGGAATGGGACTTTGCCCTGGATTAGGCCAGATTCTAAGGCTCAGGTGCACATTGGCTTCTTTCATTATTGCTTACTATAGTCATTACATATATTTAGGTGACAGTTGAATATGTCATAGAGGATGGTGCTTGTGTACCTCTTAGAGTGCATACAATTGTTATCAGTGTCCAACACTCAGAAGATGTTACTAATGAAGAGATGAGAAAAGACCTGAAAGATGTTGTTGTCAAAGTATAAGTCATATAGAGTAAGATCTCAATTATTATATGTGCATATAGAGTGTCATACCTGAAAAATACCTGGATGACAATACTATATATCATTTGCAAAGCTCTGGAGCTTTTGTCATTGGTGGTCCACAAGTAAATTTTTGCCTACTTTACTACGTAACTTATATTTGTAATAGGGAGACGCTGGTTTGACTGGCCGAAAGATTATTGTTGATACATATGGAGGATGGGGAGGTCATGGAGGTCAATATACCATTCACAAGCTTTTCATAGTTTTCACAAAAATTATAGGTGGTGCTTTCTCTGGAAAAGACCCTACAAAGGTTGATCGTTCAGGTGCTTATGCTGCTCGTTGGGTTGCTAAGTCTATTGTAGCATCAGATTTAGCTAAAAGGGTCATTGTTCAAGTAATAATGTCATGACAATATGTAACTGATGCTATTGCATATCATTATCTAGGTCTCATATGCTATAGGGGTTAGTAAACCTCTATCAATTTTTGTGGATACATATGGAACTGGTGTCAAAAGTAACCAAGAAATTCTTGAAATAATAAACAAAAACTTTGATCTTCGACCAGGAGCGATCATAAAGTCAGAAAAACTTATATTTGTGTGCTAGATCAGTTAAATATTTTTTTATTTAGGGAACTTGACTTATTAAGCCCAATTTATCAGCAAACAGCAGCCTATGGTCATTTTGGTCGTGAAGAATTTCCGTGGGAAAAGCCAAAAAAGCTCACTTTTTAAATTTGCATAATGTGCAGTGTGTCTGCATGTACATGCATAACTTTTTGCCATGCACTTAGCTAGAACTTGCTAAACTCAGTAGATAGACTATAGTGTGATTTATATTTTATTAAAATAACTGTGTGTCTGAGTATGTAGATGATTTTAACCATTTTGGTCATGTACTCTTGCCATTGGTCCGTAAATCCAGTAGAATGATTAGTAATCTTGTTTATGCATATCCGGGCATTCGCAAGGGTAAAATCACGTGATCTCTGATCACAAGCACATGGTCTAAAGCAGCAATGGAGAAAAGACAGAGGCCTTCTGTTCAAGTATTTGGTCGTAAGGTAACCTTAATATCATTTTATATCCTGAAATTATGCTCACAATATAGAAAACAGCTACTGCTGTGGCTCACTGTAAACAAGGGAATGGTATCATGAAGGTAAATGGTAGGCCATTACACTTAATGGAACCAGCTACTCTTCGTTACAAGGTCAGTTCCAAGTAGATTATTATTAATTTTTGTTGTGTCATATTCTAGTTGGAGGAGCCATTACTTTTACTCGGACGGGAGAAGTTCATGGGTGTTGATATACGTGTGAGGGTCCGAGGTGGTGGCCATGTTGCACAAATTTATGGTAATCATAAATCATAGACATTACAATATTTTTATTTTTTTGTTTTTTTAATAGCCATCAGACAAGCTATTAGCAAAGCATTGGTAGCATACTATCAGAAATGTAAGTAATAATATTACTGTTATAGTATTAAAAAGTACCCTTATGACCTAATATTTTTCTGTGTAGAGTAAGTGCTGGTATCATAAGATTGTTTGTATTATGGGACACTGCCTGTGTAATTTCAATGATAAGATCAAACATTTTTAATGTCTCATAACTGGTGCATGTATCCTATTTTACTGTAATTGCATTTCTATCAGATGTTGAAGTAATAGTATTGAGATAAAGGTGTTGTGTTTTACTTGTTGCTTCCATTACTTATCTTCAATTCATAATCTATAATGCTTATGTGCAAGTAGCAATGATTCATGTATGATCCAGTGATTAACATCCTTTGCTTTGTGTGTGTGTGTGTGTTTTGTTTTGACTGTTTCTTCATGCATGATTTCATAGAATACATACCTCTGTCACATAATAGCTACAATATTTTGATTGGATTCTAATAATATTTTTTGTTAGATGTTGACGAGGCAAGCAAGAAAGAGATCAGAGACCAGCTAGTTCGCTATGACCGTACTTTACTTGTTGCTGATCCTCGTCGCTCAGAGCCCAAGAAGTTTGGTGGACCTGGAGCAAGATCCAGATACCAGAAATCTTATCGTTGAGAGACACTCGTTTGGAAATAATTGTTTTACAGAAATAATTTTGTTTTGCTTCTTGAAGCAGCACAGTCATTATACACATGTATTATAGCCACGTAATTATTTTGGGTGGTGCCGTTGCCTAGCAACATTTCATAACACATTGAAACTGGAGGCTCTGGGAAGATGGAGAAGTACGAAAGGATCTGCAAGATAGGAGAAGGAGCTTATGGTGTCGTTTTCAAGTGTCGACTGAAAGACTCTGGGCAGGTTTGGCGCTAGCAACATTAACCTTTATGTAGAATGCCCGTACTTCTGTGCTAGGTTGTTGCAATAAAGAAATTTGTTGAAACTGAGGATGATCCCAATATTAGGAGAATAGCCATGAGAGAGGTCAGGATGCTAAGGGTAAGCTATAAGGCCTTCGCAACGTACCTGCTTTATCTCTTGTCTTTCAGCAACTTAAACATGGCAACCTTGTCAATCTCCTAGAAGTATTTCGACGTAAACGTAAGCTCCATCTTGTGTTTGAGTATTGTGATCACACTGTTCTCAATGAGCTAGAGGCTCATCCCAGAGGGTAATAATTGGAGTTTTTGTTAATAATGGTTGCATGTATGTACTGTGTGCAGGTTGGATGAGACATCAGCTAAACGTATTATTTGGCAGACACTTCAAGGCGTTAATTACTGCCATCACCAAAATGTAAGTTAGCAGTATCTCCTTTATATATCAAGCCTTCCTTCTCTC